AAGCATTGGGGGGGCGGGCTGGGGGGGAGGGGAGCGAGTGCTCCAGGGGACATGAAGATGAACAGCTGGAAAATGTTGGGGCCCCTTGGGCTGTGGCTGTGATTAATGGGTTACTGTCTTCATGGCGATGTCCTCTGAAGAAAAACTTTCTATGCTGACAGAGGTGAACTAAGTAGGAAAGGTTAATAGGCAAGAGCAGGAAGGAGAATGGTTACTGTTTCTTCCCAACAGCCAGGGACACACAAAGCCCGGGCTGGTAGGAGGCAGGTTAGCCACACTTCCGGTGAGATACTCACTGTCAACAAGGCCGTATCTCTGGGCCAGGAGGGCCGCCTGCAAGCTCTTTCCACTGCCCAATGGCCCACATAGCAGCACCTTGGGGGTGAACGGGGCATTGCATCGGTGGCCAGTTTGGACGTAAGTCAGAGCTGGAACAAGAGGAAATGAGAATATCAAACCCAGGTCCGATGAGAAAAGGAGCCTGCTCACACCCCTGCGTGGGCTCTGCCGGCCTGAAGCATAGCGGGACCCTTCAGTGCACCTGACATTTGGACCACCCAGGAATCATCAGGGGGAAGAACCGCAGAAGAACCACGCGGCCAGGCACCGAGGTGCACAGGGAGGGACGCAGCTTCTAAGCACTGTCCTGGAACCGCTCCACAGCGAGCGTCAGGCAGCCGTGTTTGCCCCCAGTTCCAACTGGGTGTGTTGGAGGTGGTAGGCTGCCCTAGACATGAAAGCATCTCTCATTTACTGTTCAGTTAGGCGCTTTCCAGTCTTCATCCGGCCTGAGCCTCTAACCTGAAGCCCCAGAGCTAGGCTGGTCTCCTAGGGGAGGCGAGTGCTGTGTGTCGCACAAAGGCTTTGATAAGTGCAGAGGGCTGAGAAGAGGCCTGGTGTGCAGGGACTTCTAAAGGACTTGGGAATCGGTGGAGAATTATTTGTACGGCCTCACTCCAGGGACACTAACTTTGTTCCAAGACTCCAAAAAGGCAGTAATGAAAAAGGTCACGGGAGCAGGCAGTCTCCGCCAAGTTCTCCTGACCTGTGCTGTTCCTCTGGCATTTGATGAAGAGAAGGATGGAAAGATAGGGGTGAACATCTTGAACAAAGAGGAGTCTTCACTGTGGGAAGGCACAGGACGCCAGAAAGTTCAGGGAAGGGGTACTTCACATCAAGTAGGTCCCCTTCTGTGCCCACCAGGAAGAGGGGAGATGTGAGAACAGGAGGAGGGGCTGCCAGAGAGCTGCCTGGTAGGAATCTGCATAGGACAGCTGGCCACCAAAGAGGCTGGAGACTTGGTCTGCACAGCCTTCAAAACAAGGTCTCCTCCCCAAGACCTCACCTTCTGCCAAGGCCCTCAGGCAGGCGTAAAGGCAGCTCTGAGTGACACCTGCCAATCTTCCTTTATCAAGGAAGGGCTCATCTTATGGGGGATTTGTAGGTGTGCCCATCATGGGATTTTCCAATCTTGTGGCTTAAGTGGCATTTGAAGCTCATCCTGGCCTCTACCCACGAGATGCCAATAGCACAACCAATAAATGTACAAATGAACATAGTCAGCTGTCTTCCCCTGGAGGCGGTGAGGCAAAAGGAGCCCAATTAAGAGCCAGCAGTATTTGTTCTTTATACAGACTTTGAAATCTTTGGGGGGGTTGCATGTATGGTTTATCCATGGGTACACATGTGTGTGTTTATGTGGGGGTGTTGTATGTGTACATAGAAGTTCCTGCATATGGGGCCTCGAGGTCAATGTTGGTTGTCTTCCTTAGTCACTGTCTACCTTATATTTCTAGGTCTCTCAATGAACCTGGAGTTTACCTGTCCCTGCTTCCCCATAACCAGGATTATAGGTCTGTGCCATTAGGCCAGCCTTTCATGTTTTTTAAATTGAATTTATTAGTTTGCATCCATGCACACTCCACATGCGTGTGAGGAGACCAAAGGGCAGTGCTAGGGAGTCAGTTCTCTCCTTCCACCTTGTGCGTCCTGGGGATCAAACTCATGTTGCCAGCCTTGGTGGAGGGTGCTGGGAATCCAAACTCTGGGCCCCCATGCCTGCATAAGCCCTCTCCTAACTGAGCTGTCGCCCCTGCTCTGAACTCTGAACTCATTACAGGATCGTCTCACTGGGTCATTAGGGTTTACAGATCCTTCTTTTCAGAACTAGCAGCACAGGTGAGTTAGAGTTGACCACCGCCAAGGCTGTGGTCCCCACCATTGTGGAGACATCGCACCGTGGCAACGTGGGAACTGCTAAGTTAAATATTAATATGTTTGGCCTGCCAGTCCATGAGGGAGCTATCATCCTTGTCCTGTTGTACAGACAGTTAGTGCTGTCTGGAGTCTTGGTGGTAGAGTCATGACAAGTCTCTCGAAGTTTCGGTTGGGGTACCGTTCCTCCTCTAGAACAGCCCAAAGCAGGAGATCCTTCCATAGCTCTCTCAGTTCTCAGGCCTCTGTGACCCAGAACCTCTGAAAAGCACAGACACTACAGCGAAGCAGCCTGCTTACAAATGATGCCTAATTTACAGTAAATAGCTAAGTTAATTAGAAGTAACGATACCCCAGACAGTCTCCACATCCAGTTATTCTTTTTGGAAATGGATGGCGTCTGGATGCACTGGGATTAAAAAAACCACACAGAGGGAATCTTGCAGTCCGATTTTCAATTTATCGCTCCACATTATTAATTAATAATAATTAATATTTAGATGCTCACATTTTTATTTACAATTCCAGGCATGAATTCTTTATGAATGATCATATGAACTTTTAAATTTAATTAAGTAATTTAGAAGTAATTAATGTGTATACTCGGAACTGTGGCATAAGATTAACGCGGTAGATGTTCATCTTAAAAGCATGTGTTTGCTACTAAAGATCTTATCAAGATGCAGAGCTCTGGGAAATTCAAGGCAGTCTCAACCTGACATGGCACGCAGTACCACCTTGCGGACGCCTGCCCACTGGTGATGGCAGGCAGCAGGGGGCCTGGGGTTCCTCAGAGGAGGCTGCAGAGGGTTGACAGAGAAGTGTCTGAAACCCACACCCAATCAAAAGGACACTTATCTTTTTGATGTGTGTGAGGTGTGCTTGCTTGCTCACAGGCACCCATGAGTGTGTGTGCACATTTGTGTAGAAGTCAGAGGACACTCTTGGGAGCCATCCGACTTGTCTTTTTAAATAAAGTCCCAGGGGCCTGGAGACCACCGAGTAGGTGAGGCTGGGATCCATCTGTCTGTACCTCCCTGCGTTGGGATTACATGTATCTTCTGTCACACCTGACCTTTTTACATGGGTGCTAGAGATTAAACCTAGACCCTCATGCTCACAGAACAAACGCTGTTTCCCTCTCCCCTTTTACGATAGGGTCATATGAGCCCCAGTTGGCCTCAAATTTGCTACACAGCTGAGGATGGCTTTGCACTTTTGATATCCCTGCCTCTACTCGGCAAGTGCAGGCCCTGCCTTGGGGGCATGCTGGGCAGGCGCTCCACCAGTGAAGCCACACCAGTAGCCCTGCGAGTTTTTCCAAATTCAAATTTAAAGTTTTGCAGCAGGGTCAACCTATACTTCCCAGGCTGGCCACAAATTGTCTGTCTTCCTGCCTCAGCATCCTAAGCATTGGCTTTACAGAGATGTCCTGCCACACTTGACTTAAAATGATTTGTCTTTTGTTTTGTTTCAAGACAGGGTTTCTCTGTAGCTTTGGAGCCTGTCCTGGAACTAGCTCTCATAGACCAGGCTGTCCTCGAACTCACAGAGATCCGCCTGTCTCTGCTTCCCAAGTGCTAAGATTAAAGGTGTGCGCCACCACCGCCTGGTCTGTTGTTTTGTTTTTTTTTTTTCAACACATGGTCTTATGCTGTCCAGGGTGGCTTCCAAAGTTTCTGTATAACAGAGAGGCCCTAATCTTCTGCTCCTCCTGTCTGCATTTGCTGAGGGCTGGGATTACAGGCGTATGCCACCATGTGAGGTTTTATGTGGAAGCCAACACTTTACAACTGAGCCACACCATCGTCTCAATTCTATTTCCTTGAAGAGATTTAAAGCACCTGCGAGAAAGGGGCCATCAAGGGCCTCAAATGTCTGCTGTCACTTTCTTGTGTCGAAAGACTTTAAGTGCCTTTTCCCCTGGTAGCACACGTGAGGGGATAAGTGGATTTTGAGACATCAAAACTTAAATATTTTTTTAATATTTATAAATAACCCTTGAACGCCTATCACTTATGTGGATGGCCATGCAGTCTGGTGGTAGGCAGTGGGCAATCGATCCCGGCTTGTGGAGTACCTTGCCTGCTTTGGGTTGATAATAAATGTGTTTTGTCTTAATCTTTATATAGTTCTCTTTCTTCTTATTCAAGATCAGGCCTCAAGTCTTCGCTACCATCATACCCCTCCCTTTCTTTATCCCCCCCATACACTGTCAAACCCTCTGTGGCTGGGGATAGAGTCACACCCAGAGGTCCCTGCATGGCCCATCAACTTGTCACTCAGGGTCCCCACACACATCCCAGCTGCTGCTGCTGCCAGTCTGAGGGGTAGTGGGATGAGCAGGGTGGTCAGGTGGTCAGAGGGACCCCAGCCCTTGTGTGGTTCCACGTGGGGCAGCCTGCCTTTACCCTGGTAGAAGACGTCCACACATGGCTGGTCTGCGCTGATGGTTTTCAGGATTTTGGGGTAGGAAGGAAGAATCCTGATGATGTTTCTGTGGTATTCCAGCAGCCTCTTCGCTGTCTCTATCTCCGAGATGCCTTCTGGCTCTATCAGCCGGTTCTGTATTTCAGGCTCGGGGGGCCAGTCGAAGGTGGTGTGGTAGATCTCTGCACAGGGAGAGGCACGTTGGAGTACCCACACAGGGCTGCCGCCTGCACTGCCTGTCTCATTGCCAGGGCATGTGACTCACCGTTCCCAGCCATCAAGGCTCTTACATACAACAATGCACAAATAACATCAGCTGCTAGTCACAACAATAAAAAGACGATGATGGGTTGAGGATAGATGTAGCTTAGTTGGTAGAGTGCTTGCCTCAAATGCACAAGGTCCTGGGTTCAATTCCCAGCACCTAATAGACCAAGTGTGGCGGCTTGTGGCGTTTACATACTTAGTGGAGTCATGACAACTTTCTCAGACCTATGGCTGGTATGCCATTCTCCTCCCTCCAGGACATCCCAAATGTGGGGACCCTCAAGTGGCTCTCTATTCTTAGGCCACTTATAATGGAGGCAGGAAGCACAAGGCTGACCTAGACTATATGACAGCTCATGTCAAGGAAAAGGACAGCGGTGCCCTCAGCCCAGGACTAAGGGCAGCCACAGATTCCTGAGTGCTGACATTGCAGTAGGCCCTGAGACGAGCCCACATCCTCAATTCATCCTCAGAGCAATTCGTGCTTTTACCCCAAGTCCAGAGAAAACTAAATCCGAGAGAGGTAGGTACCTTCCCCTTGTTTCCAACCCCAATGATGTGGCCACTTTAGATCCCGTTTGTGGCATAGGACAATTTTCTCAGGAAACTCATGTGCCGTATTCCTCCACACTTGGAGCAAGCAGTGTGGGGCACACAGTTCCCCAGGACAAACACCAGCCCCCTGTACCGGGTCCCCAGGGCGTGGTTCCGAGACTCAAGGCAAGCTCTTTAGAGCCCAGACTCCTGGACACAGTCAACCCAGAGAGTCCAGTTCCCCGAAAACAAGACTCTGCCTTTCACTCTGCCTTGCCTCTTTTCTTGCCTGCTGGGGCTTCCGTGTGCTCCCCTGGGGTCCTGGAGCAGAGGGCAGGATGGGGCAGCCCTTTACAGTTTTTTAGTCCCTTGGGGTGAGGGTGGGGCCATCATACCTCCAGTATCAGGGTCGATCCGCTTCCCCATGTTTCTCTCGATCAGGACCGTGTCTGGAGCGTTAAGCACAACTGGGCAGAGAGGAAAGGAACAAACCAGGTGTGCAGGGCTCAGGTGCCACACATCTGAACCTCAGGACCTCTGCTGTGTGATGACATTCAACACCCCCATGTCACCCACCTCTCCTAGACGGCACTAAACCATCCCAAAGACAGTCCACGGTGGAACATGTCACTGCTCAGCACTTTTCATTGTGGGAAATCGCCGTGTAGACCTTTTCTGTGATTGGTCCCCGCCACCTTTCCCTTGGTTTCCTAAAGAGACCTACAGCATGGAGATTCCCTGCTTTTTCTACATGACAAGCACTCAACACAGTTAGCTTTGTGGCTGAAGCTAGGTTTTACCTAATGTGCCTTTTTGCTTTCTGGATTCCAGGCCCTTGAAGCCCTCCCATGGGCAATGACTGGGCCCAGGGGAGAGGGTGGGAGGGAGCCAGTGTTAAAGAGCAAGGTTCATATTCATATTGCATGCTCGGGGCAGCTGGGGCCGGGACTGTACTCACTGACATGCCTGGGCGCCAGTCCCACAGTCTGGATCATCAGCGCCTGCTCCCGCCTCTCAGGGATGCCGTCCAGGATCCAGCCCTAGAGAAAGAGCATAAAGGGGTTCATTACTAACCCTTTTACATTTATTTATTTATTTTGTGCATGTGTGAGTGGGTGGGAGGTGTGTATATGTGCGTGTAGGTAGGTGTGTGTGTAGGTGTGTGCATGTGTGAGTGGGTGGGAGGTGTGTATATGTGCGTGTAGGTAGGTGTGTGTGTAGGTGTGTGCATGTGTGAGTGGGTGGGAGGTGTGTATATGTGCGTGTAGGTAGGTGTGTGTGTAGGTGGGTGCATGTGTGAGTGGGTGGGAGGTGTGTATATGTGCGTGTAGGTAGGTGTGTGTGTAGGTGTGTGCATGTGTGAGTGGGTGGGAGGTGTGTATATGTGCGTGTAGGTAGGTGTGTGTGTAGGTGGGTGTGCACTTGCCACAGCACACATGTGGAGGTCAGAAGGCAATTTTCAAGAGTTAGTTCTCTCCTTCTACCATGTGGGTAGAACTCAGGTCATCAGTGTTGACAGCAATACGCACCTTTACCCCCTAAGCTGCCCCTCCCTATTTTAGATTATATTTTAGAAGGTCTAAAGGGAACTGGGGCCTTTTAAACAAAGAAGCATGCCTGACAACCGCATCACCCGTTGCGGCTGCTGACTCGACTTTGGAGCCAGAAGATCTTTGAGGTAGGAAAACACACCTTTAATCTGGAAGCCTATATAAGGTCATGGAAGAAGTAAGCCCCCGTTCCGCTATACTTCCCTCTCTCTCTGCCTGCTTGCTCTTGACCTTCTTAGCAAGTCCATTCCTTCACTGGCATTAGAGCTGCATTCTTCCTCTTCTTTCTTCCTTCTTCTTCTTCTTCTTTCTTCTTCTTCTTCTTCTTCTTCTTCTTCTTCTTCTTCTTCTTCTTCTTCCTCCTCCTCCTCCTCCTCCTCCTCCTCGTCGTCCTCCTCCTCGTTCTCCTCCTCTTCTTCTTCTGGATTCTAGTATCTACTGGAGAACAGCTGAGACATCCAGCCTTGTAGAATGAACTACTACTGGATTTCAGGATCTCTTCAATTCATAGGCAGCCATTGTTGGATTAGCTGGACCACAGCCTCTAAGTCATTCTATATAAAGGGAGCCTCTAACTCCCTTTCTATATAGAGAGATTCACTCTGTAAGTCCTGACTGATACAGCATCATAAATAAGGCTGGTGAACATGTCTGGGTACACAGTCCTTCCGTGTGTTGAATACAGAAGTGCTGAGACAAGGGGCCCTTAGGAGCAAAGCCAAGCATGGCGGTGCCAGAAAGAGCATCAGATTCCCTGGAGATGGAGCTACAAGGCAGTAGTGAATCACCGATGTGGGTGCTGAGAACAGAACTCAGGCCTTCAGAAGAGCTGCTGCACCCTTCATTGCTGGGCCACCTCCCAAGCCCCATCGCACCACAGTTTATAAGTCTGATGGAAGAGCACCTGTCTCCATTCCCGGCATGATTCCCGATGCTGGACGCTACCCTGCAGAAAACCTGTCCAGCAAAATATAACACAGCCCTGGACTGCTTTAATTTACATATTAAGAAGTGACTCCACTTTGTAAACACTACCACAGCCATTTAGGCAGAGACTGTCACCACATTTTCCACGGTTGCTGTCAAGCATATACAGCGTTGTTTTTAAGATGCTGGTTTTGTTGTTGCTGAGTCGGTGCCTGCTCTCCTGCTTTGGACTCTGGCATTGGTGGAGGCACAAAGAGGCCTCTCCTACCATGAGAGGAGGTAAATATTCACTCGTATTTAAGCTGCGTTCTCACATGTGTTTACACTTAATATTTATAGAACCATGTTTTCTTTTGTGAACACATGAAGCTAACATCTAACTTGCTGCCTCAAGGCTCCCAGCTGTCCCAACCTTGGAACAGCCCTTCCCTAGCTGACACTTCTCTTCTCAAGCTGTGATGACCGCCATGACCTTGCCCGTCACCTCTTCCTATCTGTAGATTACTAGCCTACTTTTATTTAACCTTTAAAGTTATAATTTTATAATTTTTTAATATTAAACAGAACACATTTTCTCTTCTTTTTTAAAAATGCATTCTTTCAGGTGAGCATCAAAACACTTTTTGCTGTCTTGAGATAGATGCTCTGAGTATTCTGAGATAACACTGGGTGTGTAGATTAATTCATGAGCAGTTGATGTTCTATGGCAGAAGTCAATGACTCCCCTCCCTGCTTGTTTTCTTGTCCCTTAGCAATTTTTGCATTTAACAGTTGCTAGAGTCTTTTCAAGTCCAGAGAGTCTAGAGTTAGCACACACACACACATACATGCACACACACATACACACTATTCATACCTACAAACACACAGGCACATATACACACATACACACATTCACATACATACACATGCACACACAATACTCACATATACACATGCACACATACACACACACATACACTACCTACACCTTTAGATTGGAGACTCAGATAAAGCAATAAAGTAAATTTTTTAAGACTGAGCACAACCAAGCAAATGGCTTCAAGTCCACTTCACAGTGAAGGGAGGCAATAGAAACCCCCCTCTTGCCAGACACCCTCCCCAGTCATCCTAAGGATTCAGTGTCTCTGTAATCAGAGGGGGTGGTGAGCCCACACCTCCTATCCTGACTTACAGACAGAGAGCAGGTTCTGGCAAAGGGCATTTTTCCTTAGAATCAAAAGTGCACAGAGGCTGGGGAGATGGCCCAGTGGGTAGTGTTTGGTGCACAAACGTAGGTGCCCACATTTGTATTCCCCAGGATACACACACAAAAAAATCAGATGTGCTGATGTGCCTAAAGCCCAGCTCTGGGAAACTAGAAACAAGAGGACCTCAGGAACTTGCTGGCCAGCAGGCTAACTGAAATGGAAAGTTCCAGATTCAGAGAGAGACTATCTCAAGATATGGTGGAGCCAGGCAAGGTGGTGCATGCCTTCAGTCCAAACATGAGACAAAGGCAGGCAGTTCTCTGATTTTGAGGCCAACCTGGTCTACATAGTGAGTTCCAGGACAGCCAAGGCTACACAGAAAAACTGTGTCTCAAAAACAAACAAATAAACAAGGTTGAGATAAAAAGATGACACCAGGCACTGACCTTTGATTTCCACACACGCGTGTGCAGGTGCATACTATCAGGCCCACACACATGTGTGCAGGTGCATACTATCAGGCCCACACACGCATGTGCAGGTACATACTATCAGGCCCCTACACACGTGTGCAGGTACATACTATCAGGCCCACACACGCATGTGCAGGTACATACTATCAGGCCCCCACACACGTGTGCAGGTACATACTATCAGGCCCACACACACACGTGCAGGTACATACTATCAGGCTCACACACACACGTGTGCAGGTGCATACTATCAGGCCCACACACACGTGTGCAGGTGCATACTATCAGGCACCACACACGTGTGCAGGTGCATACTATCAGGCCCACACACACGTGTGCAGGTGCATACTATCAGGCCCACACTTCTTCACTAGTGAAATATTCAGGTGCCAGCCCCCTCCACTGATGTGTTTATAAAAACCTAAACAAATTTACACCCTAAAGCACACTGAAGAAACCAGGCAAGCTTTCATTAATTCTTTATACAG